AGCTAGGCAAACTGCTGTCATCACGTTTCCAGAATACCTGAGCAAAACGCGCCCAAAAAAGGAAATAGTCGCAGTATGTCATAGTACTCTTCTTGTGTTTCATGCATCGTATAAAAGCCAGCGATGCAAACAAATCATAGAGTCACAGTCTGTCAAACCTTGGCAAAGTGACTTTGATTCAAGTCATATGTAGTATTTGTATCTGTATGAGTATCAGTATGACTCATCATCGTTGTATGAATCATACCACACACTACTGACACTATAGATTCCAAGCCAAGCAAGTTTAAATGCAAGCATCGAATTCCCAGCCAAATCAGATAGCTGAGGTTGAGTGTATCCAGGCGGTGCACGATCCTGGCCTTGAATGCTCAATAGTTCATCTCCCAGCATCAGGCGATTGCGGTCGAATGACCACATCATTGATCGCGGTAGCACGATCGGCAAAACAGAGTCTCCGGTTGAGAATCTATTTGCAGAGTGGTATATGTCTGCAAAGCGAATGCACTTCCCCAAAGCTTTGTCTGCCCAGGCAAATCCTACGACCTCGAAGCATTAAAAGCCACAACTTTAAAAAAAATGACTTTCATTGCATGCACTGTCACACACACAAGGTTGCTGCTTGCCTCTTTGGCTCTGTCAGTAAGAGCGGCAAACCAAGGAGAAGAACTGACAGTCTTGTCAATGTGAAGTGGCCAGGAAAGCCCACCTGGGTGAGGCAAGCAACATTAACAGCGCCACCCCTTGCAGTCACGTGAATCAAAACTTACAGGTTTAAAAAGGGGCGGCCCAGGCACGTTTCTCTGCGCAAGACATGTGCAAAGCCATCCAGGCCGGATTCTTCTCTGGCGGGTTTTCTGCATCCTTCGCCGCCTCCTTCTGTCTCAAATACTGCAAGTCGGACAGATATTCTATGACTTTGTCATCTGTGTCCGGAAGCAAGAACATCTCCTCAGGAGATCAGGAGTACCCGCACACTGAATCCAAAAGAAGACTAGACTAGGATTGTCAATTGATGACATGTTGGCCGGATTCATCATAATTTGACATTACTTACTTGATTTAAACAATTTCATTTTGTCTATCTTATGTAAAGGATTCATTGAGTCATTAGATCCAAGTTTCGGGATCAGGAGGCTTGACATACATCTTGGTCAGCAGATATTTCACAGAGCGGAAGAAATCTTCAGCAGAAGAAGCAAGGTCTTGGGAATGAAGACTCAAACAGACGATATAAATGCGATATCGTATTTGTGGAAGTCCATACCATGCAGAGTTGAGCAAGAAACTCTGGGTCGCATAACCCTTCTTGTTGAGCTCAGCCAAGCACAGCTCAAGGTTGGTTTGCCCAAAAAAGGCTCTGGTCAACTCTGTGCTGTACTGCACTCTACTTGGTTGTGCGCAAAGCGTTTTGTCTTCATCTTTGCCTCACAGTTTAGAATGGTCAAGTTGCGTGTCTTTATCCACCTCACGGTCGATAGTCTGAACATTCTCGAATACACACCACTGCGGATTGCATGCATCGATCACATCACAGCAGGCCATAAAGGTGTCTACCGATGCCACTCTGCCCTCAGCCCAATCAGAATACCAACGCGAGGAAACAACAATAAACTAGACTAGACATCTTGAGAAGTACATCATGCATCATGCATCATGCATCATCATCATCATCATCAGTCATGACTCTGACTCTGACTATCACTATCATCATCATCGCCACCATCATCGTCATCGAATCATCATCATCATGCCAAAAGCCTAGAAAGCATGTCACATCACACCAAGTGCACAAAGCACCCCAAAACAAAACAGACTCAAAGAAGAGAAGTCAGAATTCAGATCTGAGAATCCTCGGGATCATTCTTCAAGTTCTTTTCCATGGCGGTGGCATTTTTCACTGCGTCTTTGTTCAAGTTGGAGTAGGACGTGCACGAGAACCCTGCCCCGAATGAAGTCAGAGCCCTCGGTAGCGGGCATGGACCCTCATGCTGCATGCAGCGACGCTTCTCATCGTTGATCAGCATAGTAGCATCCTGGAGTTTTGTTTGTGTGACTTGGTATCTGAACGCGAATCTTGCACATCTCAGCATTCCGAATTCCAAGTTCAAATTACTAAAAATTGGACCCCCGCAACATCTGCCTTGTACATACAATAGTCATCTCCCATGCCGTGCATTCCATACTCAGCTTTGAAGCATACACACTCAGCGCCAAATACAGAGCGGACCTCAGCACATGCAGGATCCACTGTCTTACAGCGCTATTAAATTATAGTATCAGTATCATTATTTCTTTCCACTTGTTCTTTCTTCCTTTTACTTAGACTCAGACACCTTGCATACGCAGCCATTTCATCAACTCTTTCGAAAGTCTCTGAGATTGAAACCGTGAGTCCATCGTCATCTTGCTGGAGTTGAAATGTTTTCGTCAATGCTGCAGCTGCAGCTGCCATGCATGACTCGAACCTCACACCGGTTGCCACACACCATCGCTCAATATCATACAGCTTGCAACTCTTCTCACAAACATTCGCTCAATATCATACAGCTTGCAACTCTTCTCTTGCCAAAGTACGATCCTGTGCCCGTGCAAATGGAAGCCACAGACATTTCACCGATCTGACTTCGCAAATTCTCATAAATCTTAGAATCTGGTGTCTCGCAGTGGTGTTTCAAGAGCAGGGCAGCCAACACCTTACACAGTTCTTTGAGAAAACAAACACCAGAACAACATATGAATAACAATAATTTATAGTAATGATTCATGATGATAAGGCCAAGTTGAAAGACAGCATGACTGACAATATGGCTCTAGACTGACATCCCACTCTCAAAGCAGCCTCGGCGGAAGTGGAGATCATGTCGGCCGCAGATGGGTACTCCGACAATACACTCGCAAGGTACTTGTCAGCAATGCCCGGATCACACTTTCCAGTGTTTGGGTCCAACTCTGGCGGAACAGGAAAGCTCTCGTCATCTGTTTGATCTTGTCCCTGCTGTGGCATTGAACCTAAGTTGAATTTCTTTTGTGTTTTTGGTGGTTTGCTGAGGCCTTTTTGCTTACTTTCCTCGCTCACTCACTCAATCAACGAATTGAACCAAAGAACCCAAGAACAAATCCATGGCCTGCTCGTCAAAAATTGTCAGCGTAGACATTGACCTGACAGTGTTCTGCATGCTGGTGGCCTCTTCCCGGTCTTCCATCAAGACACTACTGGGAGTTTCAGCAGCAGCTTCCTGTCCGATGGGTACATTGGTCTCCAAGGGAGCAGACTTAGTAGTGAGGATCTCCTGGTTGTGCCCCTGCTTTTCCTCATCGATAGGAGGCTCACCAGTCTCAGCATGAGAATCCATGACAGTGGCTTCAACCGGGGGAGAACGGCCAGCATTTGGAATCTCACTCTCACTCTCAGCTTGTTTGTGAGTGGGAATCTCCGTATCCATGGGGCCATCGTGCATGACAGCCCGATTCTGATCGCATGTCCCTTCTTGCATAGGGACAGCCTTGGCCGCGGCAATATCTTGCTCCTGCCTGCATGTTTCTTGCATAGGGACAATGTCGGGCGTGGCAATGTCTTGATCATGCTCGCCTGTTTCTTGCATAGGGACAGTCTCGGCCGTGGCAATGTCTTGATCATGCCCGCCTGTTTCTTGCATAGGGACAGCCTCGGCCGTGGCAATGTCTTGATCACGCCCGCCTGTTTCTTGCATAGGGACAGTCTCGGCCGTGGCAATGTCGTGACCCTGCCCTGTTGTGAGGACAGGCACCTCAGCCGCAGTAGCCATCTCTTCAGGCCTGTCACCACCACCTATATCATCGTCTTGAGAGTTGGTGAGGACAGAGTTGTGTCCACAAGCTTCTGCCTGTTTTTTCTCAATGTCTTGGGCTACTGTGTATTCCGCCTGAACTTTGGCCTGATCCAAGGTGTCTGGAAGCTTGACCTCAAGATCAGAGGCTGACAAATGAGCCGAAGGTTCGGCCTTGACTGTGACTGTCATCGGAGTCATCGGCTCCATTTTGACTGATGCTGCATGTTCAGTCTTCACTCTTGTGGCATTGCTGGAAGCTTGCTTTCCAAGTGAATTTGCTTTCCTCTTCTCCGCTGCCCTGACATTGGATAGCAGCGCATCGAACTTGTCAGCCATTTCCTTGGGGTTTTGAAGCCACAGCTTCCCGTGATCCAAACCCTCATCATCTTCAAAAGCTGCTGCTTCTGGGCACTTTTTCAGCAGCTTGACACGGATGTAGAGCTTCTCCCACCAAAGATCTTTTCTATCCTTGTAGTAACTTCGAGTGGAATTCCTGATGACCGACTTTCGCCAGTCTTGAAGTGATGGCCACTCGGATTGCTCTGGCTCACCAGGCGCAGGATCCTTTTTTGTAAAGGATCTGATGTCCAGGCTTTTGCGCTGCGACATTGCTCCACACGCCTACTCACTCAGTCTGGTCAGCCCAAAACAAATCTCACAAAACAAATCAGGAACGGCCAAGAAACAAATCTCACAAAATAATAAGAACATATAAGAACAAACCAATGGCTTCAGGCGTTTGGTCTTACTTCTCTCATGCGCAGATTGCCAGCACACAGCAAGCAAAGAAGTTGAAAGTTCCCAAAACTGCAACAGTAACAGCCGACATTTGATATGTTTTCTCACGCGCAGCCTAGAAGGGCTGGTAACCTCAAAGGGCTAGCTGTAACATGCTGGTTTCCATGGATTCATGAACAGTTAGAGGCTGATGATGATGATGGGCCTCATTGCTCAAGCCTCTAACCAAAGCAGATTGATTGATTGCTATCCCGCCAGTGCCAATGCAGCACAGCGGATTCAGGAACATGGACCATGGATGACTTGCAACCGGAACTGAGTGGCAGTGTCCTAGCAACACCCAGCAAAGGCACTGCTTCCACTCTTTCCCTGTACACAGGTGGAAGATGGTCCACCCAAACATTGCCTCATCACGTGCCCAAATCTAAACGCCTAGCACCTACCCCACTCTCATGATTTCTTGGCCTTCTTGGCACTAGACTGATTGGCAGTGTCAATCTTCTTGGCCAATGCAGTCATTCGAGTTTTGACTGATTCCGGCACATCGAGCTGGTTGTAGTCCACAAATTGGATGGTCTTTTCAAGACTATCCTTCACGCTCATAGACAGTTGGCTGGCAGCTTTGCAATCAAGTATTCGAACGCATGTAGCCACGCAGGCCAAAGACAACCAAGACTTGCGCTTTGCATGTAGTGCCTGGAAGTCAGGAAGGATAGACTCCACTGCCAAGTCCAGCTCAGATGCAAACGTCTTTGCTGCTTCAAGCTCTGTTAGCATCTTGTCAGAGAGATTGGTCAAGAGCTTTTGGCGATTGTTTTGCTTCATCTCCACCATGAAGCCTGCTTCATTGGTCTCGACATACTCCGGAAGAGGATCCAGCGCACTGGCTTCATCAAGGATATGATTGACTGCGCCCTGCATATTTGACATGATGCCCTCAAACATCTCTGGGGCCAGCTTTATATAGTTGTCCTGAATGCAGCAGGGTTGAAGAACACCCCGGCAACCCTGTGGCCAACTACTACTGGGAAAATACAGCTTCCAAAAACTTCCATCAATCATTCAAGTTTCCATAAACTCCTCGATGTGCTTTTGAGTGACCGAGTCATCCTCTGACCAAAGAACATCATGCAGTGTCTTGGAAAGAGGCCTGGGCGGCGATATGATTGCCCAATTGTAATTGCTTTTGAGTGAGTGGTTATTTCAATCAAAATGGTGAAACTTTGTGGTGTATAAGCATTGGAGTGCACAAAATGTATCCGAGTGGCACCACTGGGTCAAGCACAGCTTTGCTCAACGTATCTTTGGAGAGGACGCTGTTCTCAGGCAGTATGCCACTCTTCTTGAATCTGTTGAACAAGATGCTGAGACATTTGCAAGTGTACTGGAGGTCCTTGGTAGTCCCTGCCTTTACAGCTGCAGTCACAGCTGTGACAAAGTCCTCCAACACTGAAGTAACCATGAGGAACTGGTCTCTGTGCTCAGGATCCTGAGGGCTAGTTGCCAACAGTTTGGCATCAGAGATTGCATCCGAGATCAGCTTCATCTCGGCATCATCTCGATCATGCCCTGAGTCCAGGACAATCTCGCGGAAGAGCTGCTTTGGGAGCGCAATTGCTGATTTCCAAACCAGTGTGCATGTAGAAGCCACAAACGTCTTGAGCTCGCAGTTCAACTGCTCTGCAAAATTGGCGAGTGGAGGGCAAGAGCAAGACACCTTCATCAGCTGTGTAGACCATTTCTTGAATGCTTGGCATAGTTGAACTGAGGCTGATCTGAGCTTTGCAGTGTGTTCCTCATCGGTATCAGTAATTCTCAGCAGTGAGTCAGTTTCACTCGCTATATCGGAAGTGGCATGGTAGAAGGCAACAAGATCATCCATCTGTGTCAATCTTGTGCCGGTAGCTTTCTCGTAGATGTCATTGATATTCAGGACAGCAAAGCCAGGCACCTTCGAAATGACCTTGGAGGCACTCAATGTCTTGCATTGGGTTTGTAGCCACGGACCTGCTTCAGACAGGCAATGGGAGGTCAGCAGAGCGTTGGCAAACCCAGTCAGAGATGCGCGTGCTTCCTCAAGGGCTGACTTGCCACCCTGATCATCTGCTGCCACCTTGCCAGCTGCAGATCTGATTGACGCAGCCTCACTGCTGAAGTACCGCAATGAGTCTTCCAGCTTGTTAGAAGGTGCTGCTATGGCATAGCTGTCACAACGGGAGCTAATTCCCTTGAGGTCTGAGGCCACTTTGAGTAGGTGAGCCTTGCTGTCAATTTTGTCCTCGGTCATGACCATGATCTTCTTGCCCTGCTGAATGGATTTGAAACTTGCCAGTATGTTCCTCTCGGCCGACGCCTCTGTCTTCAAGAAGTGGAGGGCATCTGTGACATCTTGGGGACTGGAACTATCCGGGTTCAAGACGTCATTGATTGCCTTGAACTCCTTCATGATCAAGGGGTCCGGAAACCGACCCGCCATTACAGATACAAAACCTCGCAATGGCTCCAGCTCCTCGTTGTCCTTCTCAAAGGTAACCTGAGTTGAAGAGAAAAATAATTGGCAATTGGCATCAAAAGTACACTCGCCCCCACAAAAAGAAATCAGGATAGGATGATGACTCACGATGACTATGAGTCATGAGTCATGAGCCAAGGAACCTTCTCAATGGAAATGTTCTTCACGAGTTTCTGCAATGCAACTGACATTTGCTGACTGAAGAGTACTCCCGTCATTCCGCTGGTCGGCAAGGTGGACTGTGCCCATTCCAATGACTTGTCAACCATATCATTCCATCTCTTGAACTTCAAATCGTCTTGCCATCGGACACGAGCAATTCTGACAAAGATTTCCTTTCCCAATTTGCATCCAAAGCTGGCCAGGGACTCCATCTTGCAGCACATCTCATCAGCAGGAGTAGCCATCGGCTTGCACAGATTTTTCAAAAGCTCTGAAAATGTGTCCACAACATCTTCAAGCTCCTGGGCTTGTTCCAAGGCTGGCTCTTGGTTCTCAGGAGCCCTCCGCTTGACAGTTCTCCTGCGACCCTTCAAGGTTTTGAGCACCTCTCCCACCTTCTTTAGATGTTCAGACACGTCACCCTTGAACTCGTTGTCTGGTTCTCGAGGATCAGAGACCAGCAGGTCCACTACCTTGGCACGCATGTCCACAGCCCACTTTTCATCTTCCTCCATAATCTTGGTTGATTTTGGAGCCAGCAAGGCCGGGTCCAGGTTCTCAACATTCTCGCGAGTATTCCTCTTTGGTCTTTTCGGATCGAGATTCTCAGGCTGCGGAGTTCCTCCCCCCCTACTTGACAGGTCCTGATCCCTGCCAGGCAGAATTGACTCCAATCCTGCATTGGCACTACATCGCTTGAGTCCGGCTTTTGCCTTTGTCTTAGGCAATGCTTTTGCTGTAGCTTGCGACGGTGGTGGCATCGCCCGCAATCTTAAAGAATCCATTGCAGAGATGAACCCTGAATGACTCTCCGACTTGGTGTCGTCTTCACCTCCACCAGGTTGAGGGCCCACTGGCCTGGCCGCAGAAGAAGCTTGCCAGGGAGCAACTTGCAGCTCCTCACCATTCTCTGCATCCTCATCCAGCCCGAGGTTGGCAGCAACACCAAGCAAGAATGACGCCTTGCTCATGTTGGGTTCATTGACAACCTTCCGGGTGACATCATGATTGACCAGCAGGTCAATAGCTCTTTTCTCTGTTTTTTCCATCAGCCCATCCACTAGGTTTGGATTGTCTTCGGACGCCATCAGCTGATGTGTTTTCACAATCGATGTCATGGCCTTGTTTTCCAACTTGTATATCCCTGCCATTCCATCCTCCCATCCCATCAGAAATTGGCGACCAACACAAACAACCTTGGATTCGAGCATGGGTCAACTTGAAGAAAAACAGGTACCTGAGGTACCTGTAACAAAATAACTTGAACAACAAACTGGGTTTAAACTTTCTGAGACACTCCTGCAATTGATTCTCCATGAAGCTTCTTGTACACGACATCGCGATCTTGAGGAGCAGCACCCATCAACTTCGTGTAGGAGCCAATCTCAACAAAGAACTGCAACGGTCCAGAGAGTTCTTCCAAGGAGGACTCGTTGGCCACCAATACCCTAGGTCAAGGTTGCTTGTCTTCAGTGAAATCCGTGCAACAAGCACAGACAAGTGTTTGCCCCCACTCTGCAAGTCTGCAAGTGTATGTATGTCCAAGTAACGTCTTTGGTCCAAGTTCCCCGGTTGTTCTGATTCGAACACCCGGGTTTTCTTGTCGCATCTTTACCAAGTTCTCGCGCTGTTTCAAGAACCTTGGTACACACACACACCAATCCCTAGTCTAAGGTTACTAAGTGAGTCTAGTACTACCCAGCAACCCATGGATAGCAGTGGGATTGGACTTGAAGTGTGCTGCCAGTCTTCGAAGATTGCCAACATCAACTTCCCAACCGCCGTGTGTATGCACCTGGAAACTCATAACAGAGGCCAGAGGTGAGCGGAAAAGAACCACACAGGATACAATCACTGAGTACACAGAAGTACTTTGGCCAAAGCACATTGGCACACAGGAGACATGTGAGGCCCTTTGGCTTGTTACGATTCCCAAGATACCAAGGCAGCAGCGGATACCAGTTGTCTTTGTCTGGATTTGCCACAACATAGGGACATTTCGATGTGCTCCAGCTCTGACAAAACTGGCAGCGCATTGCTAAGTAGTCTTCTGGCAAGTCCTGATATTGGCAAACAATTTTGCCTTGTATGGCTTGATTGTTTCATTATTTCTTTTCAAAAAATGACTCCGAGTGTCCACCCCTGGTGGAGGATTTGGAGCAGTCGCCATTGCAATCAATCCGCCGGAAGTGAAAGTTGTAGAGTGTGAGGTCAGAAGACAAGCTTCCCAAAGCTTAGAGCCCAAACCTTTTAATGAACCTAGTCACAAAAGCGCACACCTGACATCCAGGCTCATGTACTCGCTCGCTCGCTCGCTCGTACGCTCGTACGTCCGTTCGCGCGCTCGCTCGTACGCTCGTACGTCCGCTCGTACACGCGCCCGTACGCTCGTACGTGCGCTTGCACGCTTGTTCGCACGCTCGTACGTGCGCTCGACTCGTACACAAATAGAGCCTACTTTGGGTACCAAAGTAGGCACTATTTTTGTACATCCTTATTAAACTAAACTAAATAGTGCCTACCAAAGTAGGCACTATTTTTGTACGGACGAGTGTACGTACAAGTGTACGTGCGAGTGAGCGAGCAGATGTACGAGTGGATGTACGAGTGGACGATCAAACGTACGAGTGGACGAGCAAACGTACGAGCGGACGTACGAGTGGGCGAGCATGTGTACGAGCGGATGTACGATCAAACCAGCGGATGCACGATCAAACACAGGTGTCAAACACAGGTGTCAAAACATCAATACTTTTCCCCTCCAGGCATGCCCCACTGCAAGATGACCAGCCCCTGCATCCGGCTTGAGGCATTCCTCTCAATAGAAATCAGAAGGTGACCATGGCCTTGGTTATTCATCCATTTCCCTACTCAAAGCACACTTCACTCATCGTAAACTAAGTTCGAATCCCAAACATGAGCTAGGACTCAACAAACCTATCTAATACCTGCTAAGGTGAAAATATAGTCGTAATTTACAATTCTATTATAGTCATAGTCATAGTCATAGTCGTATTAATATACAGTACATGAAACAAAATGAAACTTTCCCTTTGCGCAACAAGTGAGTGAGTTCAACAACTAGTGCACGCTGCATGCACCAAATGCACCAAATGAAGAATGCGTAAGGATGGAGACTTTAAGGTTGTGCACAAACACCTCACAAACACATTCATCTGACTCATCTGCTTCAGTGAAACTGAGAGCATAAGCACAAGAATGTCCACAAGTCTACTTTGAAGAAGGTCCAAGTCGCAGGATACATCCTAGTGTGAGCGGCCTTGTCTGTCCTGTTGGGCACCATAGTGGAACCAATGTAGAGCCAATACATGAGACGATCATAAGAACCCCGGCCTTGAGCACCGTACTGTGCAAAAGCTTTGGCAGTTTTCATGACGCTGCATCCATGGTACTGGCACTTGACAGCAATTGAATGGTTCGGCGTCCCTGGTCGTACTTCTGTGATGCGACCTTATTCCACACCAGTACAACAAAAGCTCTGACTCAACAAAGTAGCAAGGGCAACCCCAACCCAGTCACTCCTTCCTACAAAGTAGCAAGTACAGTAAGTGTGAGTAAAGAAAGAACTTGCGCAGTAAAAAGCCATCAAGTCAATAACAAGGGTCCAAGATAGCGTGTTTCAGCTCCCTCAAACTCCTGAGCATACACGTAGCCATTTGCATCCATAAAGTATGGAGGTTCCCGCGGCCTTGGACCACTTGTTTCAGTCTCAGCATGCTTTGGACTACTTGCTTCGCTTGCCAGCGTGGAAGATGTGCCCGAATCTCCCTGAGCCACGTTGCCCTTGGCCTTAATACAGCGAATGAATGTGATGTAGTGTGATTCAGTGTTTCATAATTTTAGTTAAGCATATCAATCACATATATTAATTATATGATATTTTATATTGTATTATACAATTATAATTATAATTATATGTGATTGATATGATTAACTAAAGTTATCAGTTATCAGTATCCTTTTAAACAACCAATGTAGAAAAGACAGAGTCAGAGTCAAGAGTCATAATAGTCATATTGTCAATCATATCATAAACCGTCGAGTCATATCATGAATCATATCTCATATCTCCATATGCTAGGAGTTTTGAAATCAGTCAGTGTGTCCTTTTGTTATTTTCTTGCCAAGCCACTCTCTGTGGTTTGGACGGCTTTGCTTCAGCCACGTCAGGCGGCTTGCTTTGCAAATCAAAAGAGCAAGCCGATAGATGCCCAAGGTGGTGCTCTCGTGCAAATACCCACTCTTTGCGAATCTCCTCAAGTTCGGGGTCTACTGCCTGAACTTCATCTGCAGGCAGTTGATCTCCTGAGTGCAAGGGTTAGTTTACCACATCACACCTGTCAGATATGTGTAGGATACAAACTTGCATTTGGTTGCATGGCAAATCCAAATCATTACAAAAGGAATATTTGAAGCCAGAAGTGTCAGGCCGCCCTGTTGTGGCCCGACTCTAATTTGAACAGCGAACAGCTTTCGCCTATAGCCTACACCGAGTACCCTCTCCCCTTGCTCCCCCGTTGCCTTGTCTATCAGCTTTGGCTTTAGCAGCTTTGGTAGTAGTTCCTGGGCCCTTGGCCTTGGCAGGAGCTCTTGCCTTGCCACTTGACTCCTCACCGAGCAAATCTGAAACCATAGAGGAAATCATATCCAGATCACTTCCACTGTCGTCACCATCATCATCATCATTGTCATCGTCATTGTTCTCTGAGGATTGCGCACCCATTGGTACCCAAGTGAAGGGACGTTCAATCACCAAGGATGTCAATGTAGCCCGGGACAAGCGGTATGGGATGTTGAAGGCAAAATCAATGGACGCGCTTTCTGGATTTTGTAGCGGATCTAGCTTTGCAATATCACGTTTGAGGAAGAGAAGGCAAAAAGCTGCATTCCTTCTGATGACTTTGGGACTGCGACTCTCTTCAGATCCAGCAAAGCTGGAGTGTCCAGGCAGCTGGAGACTTCCAATTCAATACTGTCAAGCCTCATTGGTCTGAATGATGCATATGTGATCAACCACCCCTTCACACATGTGACGTTTCCTTTCACACACCGTGCCAGCAACAAAGGGTGTCTCGCTCGCCGGTCAATATTTTTCTTGATCTCTTTGTAGAGCGGCTTCAAGCTCCAGGTAATGTCTTGCAGCAAATTCTTGGCTCTTGCAAACAGTGTTTGGTTGACCCCATAGAGGCCAGTTGTCATACAAAAGTCACTGCACTTGGCACTGGGGCGACTGTCAAGCGGCTCCACTGCATCGTTTGCTACTGCTTCTGAATGAGATGATGACCAGTCCTGTGCCAGTGTCTTGACAAAATAGTCATGCTGGGTGCATTGCTTGAACACGTCAAGACTGATAGCAGACTGCGCATCTCCAAGTCCACAAAGACCAAACACAGTGTTGCTCTCGGCAATGACCTGCTCTGCTTTTTCTTGTCGCTGTTCTGCCTTGCGCTTCCGCGATGAAGGCTGCATATTGGACGCCTGTGCCTTGTACTCATCCCGAAGCCCAGGATCAGCCTAGGACACGACTTGAGTTGCCATCAAAGAAACATAACAGTTGGACAGGTGGTACGGGTTGAGGAGTTGAGGAGTATTCAAAAAGTAGTCACATTGTCATTGTCGCATTGTAAACTTTAAATACTCCACTACAGTTAGGGTGTGTGATTTGCAAGATGAAACCTTGGCAGGGAGCAGAGTCACCCAGAACCAAACACTTGGCTCAAACTGTTTGGTTGAACAGTCAGGTTTGTACCTACTACGGCTCAAGCTCTATTTTTCAATTACTCAGACGAGTCATAGTCATCAATCGAATCTCTAGCGTCTGGTCTAAAATATCTTCATCATCCATCCTACTTATATAGTGCGAGGCATTTTGTTGTACTCAATAGCCTGTAATTTGATACTAACTGATAGTAGTCATAGTACCAGTAGTCTAGTCTTTAGTCTAAAACAGTAGTAGTAGTAGTAGTAGTAGTAGTAGTAGTAGTAGTAGTAGTAGTAGTTGTAGTAGTAGTAGTAGTCCCATCTGTGTACCATCTGGTCTGAGATGTTATGGACCCTGACTCTTACT